GCGCGCTTTGACGCCGTCCACGCGACGCAGACGGATGTCAGCGCGAGATCCGCACAATCCATCTCCGCTCCTCCGCCTTCACGCTCCCTCGCTTCTCGCTCGTGCGTTCTTGATAATCCCCAACAACCCCCCCCATCCCAATTTCGTATTTCACAGTTTGTCCTGTTTCTTTTAGCGGTTCGATCTCAAAGAAAACATTACAGTGCCGCCGACACCATTTAAAAATAATAAAAATAACTCATGCAATAAAAAGTAGAAGGATTACGGACGGGGCCAATAACCGCTCCGCGCTGTCAGGATGTTCTTAGGTTTCTAATGGGAAGATCTCCCTCACGGCGTCTCCGCGTGAGACGCGACTGCAGGGCCCATTACCTCGATCTCTTTACGCGGTGTACTTAAAGAGGAGCTGGCGACTTAATTTACTGTGTCTGAGCTGGTTTATCTGTGCAGCTGCCGCACGCAGCGGGTAGGAATCGGTCTCGTCTCCAGCGCGGAGGCTCGGGTGAAGGGGTTCGGCACAGAACCGAGGCGAGCTGCGCCACCCAGCTCCAGTTCTGCTGCGCCCCGAATGTGAAAATAAAGACAGGCACAGTTCGTCATCCTGGACTGCGGCGGCCCTCCCTGAGCTCCCTCTGCGCTGCTGGGCGGCGGTGCAAAAAGAGAGGCAGGAGACGGGAACCGCAGCTCACCGGTCGCTTGCCCCTTTGGAGTACAGGGGCGGCCAAGTCACTCGGGGCGGAGTGGCAGTCGGGGAGAGCAGGAAAGGCTACGGAGCCCTCCGCTCTGTCGGGGGTTTTACCGCGAAGACTGGGCAGAGGGGGGAAGGGGTCCCCTATTTATAACAGAAGAGGATAAGGCGAAGTGAATGTGCCGGAATTGTCCGGCGGGGTTTCCGGGACAGCCCGCTCCCGGAACGCCACAATACCGTCCCTCCGGGTACAGCAATGCTCTCCCAGCTGCTTCGACGGGCGGTGATCGGGTTTTCACTGGTCATAGTGGGAACGAGGATGGCCTCATCCACCAAGGTGGAGCGTGCAGGGCGGCCTCGCGTGGGTCTTCGTCGCTGTTGGCCCGTTGCGTCCGGGGCGCTCGTTATGTCCCGTGGGTGGGCTTTTGGTGTCTGAAACAGCGCCAGCCCAGATCAGAGTGAACACCCGCGGTTTGGTTTGAAAAGAATGGCGTCTTTGGAAACCTCCTTCGAGGGAACTTCATATCGTGTAAGAAAATGTGTTTTTGAGCTCTTTTTCGTGAATGTCTGCATTGTTTTCTTAAATCTAACTGCCGGGTTCTTGAAAATGAGTTTGAGTGTTAGGTGTCTTTATGCATTGTACTGTAGAAACGTGATCTCCAGTAGTCAAGTCAGAATACGTGTTACAAAGAGATTTGTCGTTCTCAAAATCGTACGCTTGAGAAAAATAAATCTCCGGAGTCTGTTTTTTTTTTTTAAGGAAGCAGTTAGATCGAAACGATGTATTTTTACGCTTAGATATGTTCCTGAGTTTGCAGACGCTCTCATTATCGTTAGCACTGCTAAGCGTGCGCCTGTCACGCACGTGTCCCGTCACGTCTCCGCACGTTCGCGGGAGGACATCTGTTCCGACAGGCTCCGCATCAGGAGCTCTTTATCGGGTCCTCACCGCTTCGTTAGTGAACACTCCCTGATGTCTTCTTAATGAGTCGCCTCTCTCCGCTGGGACGTTCTGGTCGTGGCTGGTACCTGGGAAAACGGCACCCGGGAACTGAACGCTTTGTGAAAGCTCGGAGTAGTTGGTGAGACACTTGCGGTTCGGCCAGCTCGGTCAGTGGGCGGGCTCCTGGCTGCAGGGCGAGGAGGCGTGAAGCCCGTTCACACTGAG